ATTTTGAGGCAAGAAGAAGTGGTATGACAGGAGGATCGTACCGTAAATACCGTGAGCAACGAACGTGCTCTTAAGAGGGTTGGCAGCAGAGGTGGTTGGTAGGGGGGGGGGGCGCCTACTACTAGTACTAGTACTAGTACTAGTACTAGTACTAGTGCTGCTACTACTACTACTACTACTACTATAGTAGTAGTAGTAATAGTACTAGTACTAGTACTAGTACTAGTAGTAGTAGTAGTAGTAGTGCTGCTACTACTACTACTACTACTGCCACTACTACTACCACTACTACTAACTACTACCACCACCACCACAACTGCCCATGTGGCTGGGAGCAAAAGGACTTGCAGGGCTCAGGTCCGTAAAGTCTGGACACACGGCTCTGAAAAAAAACGTCTCTACATCACTGTAGCTAGGAGCTTAGGGTTTAGTGCCTAGGGTTTAGGGTTTAGGGGTTTAGGGCTAATTCCCTATGCCAATGATTTGCATTCCAGGTGCAGAAGTCTTTTTGAGTTTTGGAGAACATTACGACGAAGTCATTTAGTAAATCAGTTACGGCGCAAGTGCACGGGGTGTTTATCTGCACCACACGAGTAGCTACATAGCGAGAATTCTGACAGCGCGAAAACCTTAGCTGGGACTGTTCGGGGCTTGGGGTTTAGGGTTTAGGGCTTTTCAAAGCATTCGGCTGTCAGAGCTTCGAAACAGCTAGCTGGTGGAGCTGTCTTCCCTGCTACTTCCTGTTGGGTCTCTTGAATGCGAAAGCCCCAAACCCCTATGTAAACCCTAAACCCTAAATCCTAAAGCCTTCACCATCTTAAACTAAACCCTAAAGCAGTTGAGTTAAGACTCCCAGCTCTCGAGGCCCTGAGAGCGGTAGACATTTCGGAGCCTGTATCGTTGGAATAGGCTTTCGGGGGTGGCGTCTTGTAAATCGTACAGTTATGATCAGGGCCCTATAATTAAGACACAAATGTTGGTGCCTAAATCCTAAACCCTAAACCCCATATGGGTAGTTCTTTAAAGTAGGGTCCCTTTTTAGGTCCCCGAAATTGTACGGCACCCTTATAAAAAGGACCCGAAAAGGGACCTTAATTTAGACAACTACCCATATAAAAAATGCAAGATTGCGACCTGGTTAGCAGAGATCTTCTCGCCCGCAGTCGTCATGAAGCAAGATTCAAGGTCTTTCGTCTCGAGCCTGTGCCAGGGCCCAAGGGTTTGGTGTTGCGAGTTTAGGGCTTATAGGGTTTAGGGGTTTAGGGTTTAGGGCCTTTAGGGTGTTGGCCTCAGGGTGTAGAGCCTATTTAAACCCAAAACTCTACACCCCGAAGATGTAAGGTTTCAGGTGTTGTTTGGCTTGGGGATAGCATTTTTGGGGCCGCAAGAAGACTGCAAGGCACAGGGGCTAAAACCGCCTTATGTTCCAAGACCTGAAGCCCTAAATCCCCTGCCCTCACACCCAGAACCAGAACCCTAAACCCTAAACCCTCAACCTTCTTCCTAAACTGCTACAGGGCCCACTTCGACCCCTTATAGACCACCCTATAATGCCCTTTTAAGGATCCCTTGGTCGGGTTAAGGGATAGCACCATATATCTTGGAGCTTAGGGGTTTACGCGCTTACAGGGTTGAGACTTTGGATGTTTAGGGGTTTAGGCTTTCGGTGTTCAGGGTTTGGGCTTTCGGTGTTTAGGGCTTCAGGGGTTTAGGGCTTAGATGGGCTTAAATTCTTAAATAGGGCTTAGTGGGTTTAGGATTCAGGGGTCAAACATCCTTAAGGACTCAATGCCCCTTAAAAGTAGGGGCCCTATACCCTCATACTATGATTCCCTAGATTCCCTAGATGGTATATGAACCCTAAATCCTCTTAGGGTTCTTTTCGTCCTTAAGGATGTAGGCTTTTGGATCACCAGCCCGCCTCTTCGTCTCCGGGTTGTAGACCTCGCTTAGGGCTTGGGGGGGGAGGGGGTAGGGTTTAGGGTTTAGGGTTTAGGGCTTATAGGGTTTATGGGGTTTAGGGGTTAGGGTTTAGGGTTTATAGGGTTTAGGGTTTGGGGGCGGGGCTTCATAATTCCAGTAGCCTTCGAAGGTAGGTCATCTAGTAACTCATGGTATGGCTACGTATTCGAACTATTCTGGGGATATTGCTAAGCTCGAAACCCTAAACAGGGCGAACATTTTCTAACTACGCAGCCCCAATTATTGCAGGTTCTGCCTTGGGAAAGGTGAGTGGCCATCAGTAGGATGATGATGATGATGATAGTAATAATGATGTTGACGGTGAGCCTTATAGGGTCCCCTTTAAGGACTCTAAAGCCATGCCGCTGCAACGAGCTTGAAGCGCGGATCCAGCGCCGTGGTGCGCGCATCGAAGTGGGCATCGGACACCAGAAAATAGCCTCAAAACGTTTAATATAGGGTTTAGGGTTTAGGGTTTAGGCTATAGGGGCCTTGACAGTTTGAATAGGGTGCTGAGGAATATTATAATTGTAATAAGGACCTTCTGAAAAAAATAGTAGTATTGGTAATTGTTTAAGCCACTATATTGGGGTTTAGGCTCGGAGCCCTTTTGCTGTCGGCTCCAGAGTAGTCCCTTCGAAAACGGATTCCCCTTTCCTTTAGTATAGTGCAGCTTTAAGCAATGGAGAAACAACAAGGGAATCTCGTTTTGAGGCTTGAGCTCTTGTTAGGGTCTAGGGTTTAGGGTTTGATGAAAACCCACCATAGCCTGCTAGTTTGCACGGCCTAATCTAGAATTTAGGTGGACTGCACAAGCTTCGCCCCTGCTGAGTATGTTGTCTGGCTGGGGTTCTCAGACTCATAGTGCCTCTGTTAAGGACTACGGCTCCAAGGGCCACATTACGGCCGAAGTATATACTAAAATATACTATTTGAGGGTTCTAGAGTCCATACTCTCCCTTAACTTCCCCAATAAGCCAGGGAAATAAAAGGTTAAACTTTCAGATTACTGCTAAACTATAAAGTTTAAAGGTTGGGTATTGGGGAACCAAGTAATACTGTAATTATTCTAAGGATCCCCCACAAAGTAGTGTTGGTAATTGTTTCATTGAACCCCAAAGCCCCCAGGGAGCCTCCGCGCTTGACGTATCGGCCGCAGGGCTTCGAGACAATGCCAGCGCTCATGGAGATAAGCAGGTCGAAGCCTTTAGGGTAAATAAAGTTTTTTTTTCAGGTCTATAGGGTTTGGGTTCAGGGTTGGAGGGGGTTTCCACTGGCATGTGGCCACATAGGTGCTTGCGTGATTTTGCATGTCTAGTTTCGGTGGGAAAGAGGACGAGCAAACATGATCTGGAGCCAAACCGTGAAACCTTGACACTTGACGCTAACTACTAAATGATAAGTGCCCCAGCCCAACCCAACCTCAAAGCTCAACATAAACCTTAAAGTGTCACTAAGCCTGAGCCCAAAAATCAAAATCCAAACCCCAAGCCGCACGGAGCTACTTCAAATCCGTGCATGCAGAGCTATTCCAAATCCGTGCAACCCAGCAGCTCCCCTCCGCAACGTCCAGGCGTTCAAAGTTTTGCCTGCAGGAAAGTAGGAGCGGCTGATTTTGACGGTTTCCGGTCGAGGGTTCAGGGTCCAGAGTTTAGAAGCCTAACCTACTTTGCACTCGGGCTTCGGGTGCTTTGAACGAATCCGGGAGCAGGTCAGAAGTAAGTAAACATGCAGGATGCTAAGGAACACCAACAGAACATCAACTATACTGTGCAGGCCTCGGTCTTCTCGCTCGCCCTACTACTGGCTGCTAGAAGTCGTCGTTTCGGAAGTGTTGTTCAAGATGATGTTGCACGCGATCAGTGTAATGACTACAATGCTGATGTTGCGTTTGCTGCTGTTACTCGAGTGCCTGTTTCTGCCATTGTGGCTCCTGCTGCTGCTAATGGTGGCGTAGTCGGCAGCAGCGATGGCAGTGGCATCGTTGGCGGCAGCGGTAGCGCCCGGGAGTTGTTGGGGCAGGCGGTGCTGCCGTCGTTGCCACGGTTGCGGTTATTGGTTGCGGTGGCTGCGGTAGTGCCACTGGTGCTGTTGCCGCTCCACTAGCTGAGCCGCTGTGATTACACAACCGTCTCATTGGGACTGCATCCACATCCAACAACACCAAACCCACAAGCTCATGAAGCACTGATTTTGATGCAATGGTACGGCTCAGAACTGTAGCGGCAACAGGAATCAGGAACTAACAACAGAGCGAGTTCAAATCAATACTTTATCTTCTAGGCTCTTCAGTATCCCCCTGAAGCAAAGTATATACTTTTTTGGGTTAGTTGCAATATACTAGGAACCCAGGAACCCAAAAGTAAAAAAGTATGCTATAGTATGCTACTCAGCAGCCTAGTCTTGCCAGGAAAGAAGCCAAGAGGCTTCTGAAGGCTCCACTCCACCATAAACCCCCAACCCCAACCCTAACCTTAAACCGTTTCTAAACTCCTTATAACCCTTAACCCTGAACCGTAAACCCAAACCGAATCCCACCTTTACAGTCACTATACAACCGCGGGATGCTAACTCGACAACCCGAAACCCCGAATTCCCAAGGCTAAAAGCTCGAATCCTCAACCATTTAACAGTTCAATAACCCATGGCCCTACTCTAGAAGCCGAAATAATCTTAGTTGCTGAGTTCATAAGCCAAACACAAGTGTACACTTTCAGTTTCATAAGGAGTCATATTATCCCAAAAAGTTTAAAGTGTACTCATCCAGCTACTAAGTATGCTATTCCTCAGGGGCTCTTTAGTATAATTTCCTCTATAATGAACCCCCAAACCCTAAACCCTAAACCCGAAATCCCCAAACCCCCTTCTGATCATTGAAGCCCCAAACCCTAAACCCTAAACCCTAAACCCTCAACAGGATTTTTAGAACCACAGAGACTCCTGGAGACGCCCGTAATACCCTTACAAACACCGGCTCAGGGGTTTAGTTCAGGGTTTAGGGTTTAGGGTTTAGCGGTTTAGGGGTTTAGGGTTTAGGGTTTCCGATGAAGTCCGTATAAAACCCTCCAGAGCCCATTCATTAACACCTTCAGCAACCATGACGAAACAAAATAAAAAACAAAACCCTAAACACCTAAATCCCGAAACCCTAAACCCCGAAACCCGAATCCCAAAACCCGAAACCCCGAAACCCAAAACCCTAAGCCACTTGTAGAAGGGTTCGATGCAAGGGGCTGGCGAAAGTCGATTTCCGGTTTGGTCGCATAGTCTTTGTGCTCCTCCCCACAAGTACCCTTTAATCGAGCCCTTATGATCCTGAATAGTGGGTATTTAGGGAATAGTCTTTGTGCTCCTCGACGCCATGCCCGAGGGGCCCAGGTGTCAGATCTCTGGCTTCAGGTTTTAGGGTTTAGGGGTTTCAGGCTTCTGGGTTTTAGGGTTTAGGGGTTTCAGGCTTATGGGTTTTAGGGTTTTGGGGTTGCAGTTTTAGGGTTTAGGGTTGCAGGTTTTAGGGTTTAGGGTTTCAGGGCTTAGGGTTTCTGCTTTATGGGTTTTATATGGCTTCAGGTTTTAGGGTTGAGGATTTCAGGCTTTAGGGTTTCAGGGTTTAGGGTTTCAGGTTTTATGGGGTTTCTATAGGGTTTAGGCTTTCAGGTTTCAGAGTTTCAGGTTTTATGGGATTTATAGGGTTTCGGGATTCAGGGTTTCGGGTTTCAGGCTTAGGGGTTTAGGGTTTAGGGTTTCGGGATTCAGGTGTAGGCTTTCGGGTTTACGGGGTTCCTTCAGGGAGTCCTGCAACGGGGTTTCAGAAGGCTTTACTCTTAGCATCAAAATAGCCCAAAAGCCTTTTGTGTATATATATATATGTATATATATATATATATAATAGGGTCGAGGGGCCCAAAAGCCTTAAGATACGAGTCCTCCGAGGGCAAGGGTAAAACCCTAAACCCTAAAAACCCTAAGAGCCCTAAAACCCTAAAACCCTAAAACCCTAAAAACCCTAAGAACCCTAAGAACCCTAAAACCCTGGTTATATGGGCCCTCTCAGGTTTTTGGGTCTTTGGTCTTTGGGGTCTCTGCAAGCAATCAGCAGGCAATGCGAGCGAAAGCGAGGGCTGGATCCTCGCCTTGGGAGGTCATTGGAGCCAACAAGGACCCAGTTTGGGAGTTTCCGAAAAGAAGGGGTACCGTATTTTGGGGTCCTTATAATGAGGATCCTACTATTTTAGGGTGCGATATTAGGGTCCCGCTATTTTCGGAAAACCCCCAGTTAGGCTCTTCAGTTTGAGCACAGATTAGCTGGTTCCCTGCTCGGGATATATTTAACATGATCATCTTTTTAATTCTTTCTGGGCTTTATTATAACAAAATGTTAAAATTGTAGCCAACTATTATAACAAAAATGCTAAAATTGTAGCCAACAAGGACCCAGTTAGGCTCTTCACTTTGAGCAACGGAAACTTTCCGGACTCGGTCCTTCACCCATTCCAGCAGCGGCTCATCTTGGAAAAACTTGCCGACCTTGCTGTCACAGTCCTGGGCTAGCAGCTTAGGGCTTAGGGTTGAGGGTTTAGGGTTTTAGGTTTTAGGGCTTAGGGCTAGCGGCTTAGGGCTTGGGTTTAGGTCTTAGGGTTTTGGGTTTTGGGTTTTGGGCTAGTGGCTTTCAGTTCTGGCGGTTAGGGTGCTGGTAAACCTCTGAGCCCGAACAGTTCCCAACTCCATACACATCCCGAAACCTTACACCCTAAACCCCCCAAACCCTAAACCCTACACCCTAAACCCCGCCAAAACGGTTTACAAGTTCAGGCTCTGCGAAGGGTAAACTACAGAGGCTGTCACCTGAAAAGCATCATCTTGAATGGTCTTTCTCTTAGCATCGAAATGTCGAAAAGCCTCGTATAATATGGTCTTTGGGCCCAAAAGCCTTAAAAAAATAAGAGTCCTTTGAGGGTAAGGGTTTGAATGGTCTTTGGAATTTTACGTAGTCACATGGGTAGTTCCCTTAATCAGGGTCCCCTTGAGGGTAATGTTTATAAGGGTGCCGTACCATTTTGCAGACCTAAAAAGGAACCCTACTTGAGAGAACTACCCCAGAACCTCTAGACCCTCACCCCTACCCCCGAAAACCCTGACCCCTGATTCGCTGAACCCCTAAACCCTACACCCTGCACCCCTACCAGGACCCCGAAGAAACTACCTTTTTCGGGTCCCTTATTAAGATTTCCTTATAAAATTCCTTCAAAATGGTAGGTTCTTTGGGGCTAAGGTGAGCCTTAAACACTACACCACACCCTAATCTTTCAACCCCACCAAAAGACGTGAATCGATGTAGAGGACCTTGGAGAACACCAACGAAGCCGTCAAATGCCAGTAGCTGCCGGGATAGAGAACGCCTTCGCTAAAGCTACTTGGAAGGCTATGGGCGTCTAGTTCTGAGGTTGAAACCATGGGTCCCTATCATGGGCCCTTAACCCTGGGATCCTTTTACACCTGCTATATACCCTATATGTACCCTAAAGGGACCCTAGGAAGGCCTAAGGGTCCATATTAGGGGCCCATACTTCTAACCTTAGATTGGAACCCTTGAAACACCCAGTTAAGGGGCTCCTCCAGGGGCTCTTAAAGGCTTGCTTGAAAGGTTACCATGCGGGGTTTATATTATGCGGGGCTGAGGATAGGGTATGGGGGCTTGAATGTGAAGAATAGGGTTCCTTGAAAGGGGAGCTATAGGGATCCGTTAGTTCTATCTTTATATACATAATATATATATATATATATGTATGTATACACACATATATAAGGCTTGCAACGGGTGCATTGGCAGCAGTGACCTAAGTGGCCTCCCATGGGTTATGGTAGGTCCCTTGATTGATTGGGTTGTTGAAGTCTTAAAAAGCTTTTCCTGGCTCACATTCTACTTGCAAGCAACCATGACCCTTCAAGAGAGGCATAATACAGGGGCCTCCATAATTTGAATAGGGTGTTGAGGTATATTAGTAGCTACAAAGGCTAAACCTAAGGACACGCTAAACCCTATACCTTAAACCCTTTTTTAATGTTAGTAATCAATCAGGCTTCCATATCAAGGAATTCCTTTCCTCATGCCATAGAAACAAGCCCCTAAGTCCTTTGGACCCAAACCCTCCGTCCTGCAAAACCCAAACCCGCAATCTTATAAGCTCTAACCCCAAGTGAAATACTGTTATCCAGGAAAATTGTGTTAAGATATAAACGACTGAACCCGCAGTAATTGTAACCCTTTCCGATATAGTCGAATCATAATATGCCCCCCCCCCTATTCTGAACAGTCAGTTGTTGGCCTGTATTAGGTGCAGGCCGAATCATTGCAAGCCTTATCCACCTCTGTTCGCACCTCCTGTCTTCCAAATCTGCCGTGTATATTCAATCAGCAGAACTCTACCTGGAACGCCTTTGTTCCCTAAAATAATTGGGTGCCGCTCCAAAACTCGCTCCTTTGTTAAAGTAGCCTACTTTATCGGCGCAGGTATTGTCCCCAAAACCAAAAGTGTCACTGTGACCATTATCAGCTCGAAACCACTTTTGGAAGGGTTTGGTAGGGGATAGTATACAAGTAAAGATGCATATATATATATATATACATGTATATATATTGGTTCTTAGTTCTGGTTGTGCTTAAAGATGCAATAATTCGGGTTATATAAGGCTTCTCGAGGTTTGTACTTGGGACTTGTATATACGGCTGTAATCGTAACCTTGATCTCGAGGTGGAAGGGTTTTCTTCTGCGAAGGTATGCTCAAACGGAAGCAACTCGTCCAACCCCTTGAAACCCTAATCTCGTTCGGGTTCTACATAATACGATAAGGCAACAAACCTCCTCAAAAGGACCCGCCCCTGTCCGTTCACATGCAGGTTCGGCCTTCCTCGGTGATTATGCTGTGTCTGCATAGACACATCAACATAACTAGGGTGTGTAGTACACTATTAGGATATCCCCTATATATATATATAGATAGGAAATTAAAAATCTGTATACCGAACCTTAACAACCCTAAGACCCTAAGAGTACTTAGACTTAAATGCATAAGCCCTTGGAAGCTTTTCGCTCGTTCGCACGAGCAATGGATCGATCTTCAGCTTCGCCTCGGATGAAGGACCCAGCTGTTGTCTATATTGGAATGCTCGATCTGGTTATAGAACCTTCCCCAAAGAAGCCCCTCGCAGGATGGTGTATGTGGTGCGCTGCTACGATGACAATCAAAGATCTCCGCGCGAGGTGACTGATTGGCATTTACTCATGTCACATTAGGAGCATGTGTGGGGAAAACCCATGTGCAGAGCTGTCTGACAGGACCGCATCGATCTATGCAGAATGGATGGGTGATTTGATTGGACGACCGGTGGCTAGGTGGCATATATGCAGTGACGCACCATGCACTCTTGAGTTTTGTGTCCACTGCGTTCCCAACTGAGGTGTGGCTTGGGCTGGCTTCGCATCGTGGCTCCGATCGAGTGCCCTCCGATGTTTCGTTTGCGTGCATGGGATCTCTCTCATGTGTCTGCTGCTGCGTACACACAGGCATAGCTTTGACAGCATACCTGGTATCGTGTGTTTCTCTCAAGCAGGGTTCAGGATTGAAGTTTAGGGAGGATCGAGGCTTCTGGGGCATCATGTCAGAGCGGCTGGCGTCGCTTATCGAATGCATCCCCATCGTCCGAAAGCGCTTTCGGAAGGGGAACAAATGGATACGAGAGCCCGACGACAGCTCTAACAGCTTGCAAACTACGAAGGCCATCGAGGTCAACTACAATACTTTGCGAACCGTTATTAGATGGATGCCTGGTCAGAAGCTTTCGATCCATACATTGGAGCCCGAGGCTGGATTTAGTGATATAGCTCGGCTTGCATTAAAAACCAAAGCCCCCAAAACTAATAATCTCATGACCCGTCCCCTTCTCTGTGCAGGTGAAGTGCCTCTTCAAGAAGATGGGCCACGTGCCAGAGGACCGCAAGCAGGCGTGGATCGACGCCTGGAGCATCCGAACTATGGTATCCTACACGCTGAAGCGGCAGAGGGATTCAGAGCGCCGGGGACAGAATCCAAGGGCTCCTTTGCTAAATTGCGGGGGTTCTGTATGCATGCCTTGATTGTTGTCATATATGGCTGTTGATAAGGAAGAGTCCGTGCGCAAGCTGTTTGCCCTCGTCAAGAACAAGCGCAAGAAATGGGCCCAGGCAGCACGTGCAGCACGGGTTGCTGAGTTCCACGAAGAGGCAGAGGAGGAAGGGGAAGAGGAAGGAGAAGGACAAGATGAGGATGAAGGCGGGGAGGATGAAGATCACGATGATAGGAGTGATTCTGAGCCCAAGCCGGACACATCAAAGGATCCGGTCAATGGTGAAGATGATGAAAATGATGAAGGGGAGGAGGAGGCTGGGGACGATGAAGCTGAGGACCCGGTGGTCGACGTTCCAAGTGCCCCCTCGTCGAGCTGTCACATGAATCTCAAGCGGGAGAGGCTATCTAGGATGATGCATGAGATCGCAAGCCTAGAGAAGGCGCTGGGAGAGAGCCTCAACTGATGATTATCACATTATAATTATGGTCTATTTTATATTTCTAATATGTCTTACCGAGAGATGATTTGATTGACTAAGGATGTCTCCAGCTTCGCTTCCTGCTCTACGTCGCGGCCACATGCTTGAATATATTTATATGAATATATATATATATATTGTAATATATTAAGTTGATGGCCTATATAGCTTTCGATCTAAGGCGAGCCGATCTCTATCGAGGATAGCCCCGTGGCGAAGCCTTCCTCGAAGCCTACCTCGAATCCCGCCTCGAATCCCACCGTGAATCCCACTGCGAACCCCACCGGATCCCTTCCACCTCCCATTCTTCGCCGTGCTCGCTCGAAGCGCACGGGCAATCCTGACCATGAGGTCCATGGATGCATTTATGTGCATGCATGCATCACGTCATGTATATGTGCTTGCATGATCATTTCTCGCTTTTTCATGTGTGTGTGTTGCAATTGAGGAAACACAAATCTGGGCCGATGCCCCCGATGATGCCGATGATGAGCCTGAATCTGGAGGGCTTTCCCGAGACCTTCCCAAGGCAACTTGGCTGTTTGCATAATCTGTATATGCTGCCGACTTTGTCACTTGGTGCCGTGAGTTTCTAAAACAAGGTTGCAGGCGATTTGGTGACGTCGCAGCAGCAGAATGCTCTGCGAGCGCTTCGTCGCCCGGGGAAGCGTGGACCGAGGAAGCTTAAAGTGTCGCCCAAGAAAAAGGCGCAGGCGAAGGCGAAAGCCAAAGCCAAAGCCAAGGCCAAGGCAAAGGCTGCTACGAAGACGGCCGAGCTTAAAGTATCGCCAAAGAAAAAGCCGAAGGCGAAGGCGAAAGCCAAAGCCAAGGCAGAGGCTGCTACGGAGACGGCCGACAAGGCTACGGGTGACGTGAATAAAGCTGCAAAGGCCAAATCAAAGTGCAAGGCCAAAGCCGCACCCAAGGGTAAGGCAAAGGCCTCGCCCAGTGCATCGACCGAGGCTGTGGATGGCAAGCTCAAGGGTCGCCGTGGCCATGGTGATGAGAAGAGCTCCACTAAGCCAGCGGAGCCGATCGTGAAAGGCCGAGCACGTGGCGGTGCCAAGCATGATGGGAAGACTGCTGCCGATTTCGGAATTTTCCATCGGGACCTGGGTTGCCCAAAGTGCCGCTGGATCCAGCACGGCTGCGCAAACTGCCGCAAGCCTGATTATCATCCACGTGCTCGAGCGGGGGCCTGATTTGTGTGTTCGCAGTTTTTCAGTATGCAGCCTGCATACAGGTGACATGTCGTTTGTGCGCAGGGATAACCTTGTGCTGATGGCATGCAATGGGTGCAAACAGGATCCACCTGTGCTTTCGGGGGAAATACGTTTGATCGAGTTCTGTGCACAGCTGCCGGCAAAGCTCGCCTGGAGGTTCTGAAAAAATGCCGCATGTTGTGTTTGCACTTATATTAAACCCTAAAAGAAATATAAACCCTATATAAACCCTAAACCCATAAAAAAAAACCCTAAACCTTTGCGAGTGTGTGCGTCGAAACCCATTGCAATCTACAAATACCCATCCGTCCTCGCAGGTACATGAGCTTGGCGTGGAGGCGGCGGAAGCGCAAGCAGCCAGGATCCTCGGCTGGTGCTTCCCCCTGTGCAGTTGTCTGGTCTGGTGGTTTTGCACTGTGCACTGTACATGTGAATAGGGTTTGCAGTTTGGGTCATGTTGTTGATTGAAATCAGCTGCTTCAGCTTCATCCCCTGGCTGATATTTAGTGCACTTCCTGTCCCCGCCATGGTCAACAGAACTGTGGCACGATCGATTATGAAAAATCTTATTCGTGTCAGTGCTCCTGGAGCCGCTTGATGCAATCAAGATGGAACTTAAACTTAAACCCAGCCCACTATAAACCCATCCCGAATTTTGATCCCAGGTACTGATCCTGTGTGTTATGCTGATCTTGCAGACCGAGGGTCTGAAGCTGGACCAGGCGCTGCAGCACAGGGTGCAGTCGAATCGTCGCATCGTATTTGCCTTGGGTGTTGTTTTGTTGGGGTCAGGTCCTCGATGGCTGTGAGATATGTGCAGGGTCAGCTATATTGGCCAAAGTATTGCGGTTGCACGGACTGAAGATCCGTGCCCTCGACATTGATTATTGGAAACAGTACAATTGCAAGCGCCCTGCTTCGACAAATCCCCTCGACATGCTCGGCAACGCTGGATTCGTGTACCCTGTCTGCAAGATTTTGGCATTGTGCTGATCATGTGAGCTTACCCCAATCCGAGGCTGCTGTTGATTCAGGCCCTGAAAGCGAAGCCCGGGGCGACCTATCATTTCGGACTTGCTTGTTCGTCATGGGTATCCATATGCAAAGGATCTTCGCTGCGCTCTTTCCTTAACCCGGAGGGAGACACCACAAAGGAGTTTGTTGATGCCGGAAACACGATGGTTTCAAGGCCCAGTCTGTACCTATACATCGCAAGACATGTCCTAAAATAGGATTCACGATCTCCTGCTGCAGGTTTTGCCTCTTGGCATGGCTTCTCATGTCGAGAGGGGCCCACTGGTGTCTCGAACAGCCAGTGACGTCGCTCATGTTTCGGCACCGCCGCTTTCAAGAACTTTGTAAGGCGGTGGTCGTGCCCTGGTTGCAGCATAGCTCAATATATACTGCATGTGCACGTGTATTCGTAAACAGACATGTATACACAACCTGTGCATATGTATATATATATATATGGAGATACGGATGGATGCATGTTACATTTATTATATAGGTGTGCACATACGTATCCAAGCATATATGACATATGCAGTGCGGAACCCACATTATATATACACACTATATACCATGATATGTGTGTGTGTATACATATTTATATATGCATGTGCATGTGTGTACATACACTACATGTACTAGATATGCAAATATATTTACACGTATATAATCATATATATATATATATGAAGACTCTCACATGCAGACATGCACATATACATTCATGCAAATACAGATATAGCTACATGCATAGATATGAACACATGTACACATGCACACACATGCATCGTGCACGACACTTGAAGACTCCGTGCCTCCCGAGCTAGGTATAACCTCAGCAACCCCAGCATGCAGCTTTCGACCCTGCATGAATCCTCCAACCCCAGTGTCCCCGAAGACTGAGAAACCGGAAAGCCAGATTAAAACTTAAGCCCCGACCCGTACCTAAACACAATCCCTTGAAACCCGGCATAAACCACAGGATGATATACTACATATCCTCGATCTGATATAATGCAGCCCTCCCATAGACCCTTCGAAATCTAAGCCCACCCTGAGCCCCACCCCTTCAACTTAGGTCTACCGCCAAGCGTTTTGGATGGGCAAACTTGGTGCCAAGAGCCCGAAGCGCTCCCGGCTGTGGTCGTCCTCGAGAGCCATATGGGACTTCCGTCGATATGCTCGACTCACAAAAAAAGAACGGGAGCAATGCCGGGGCAACTTGGTAAATCGGCGAACCGATGCTAAAGGACAACGTAGATTTACTGGAAACAAAAACCTCAAGAAATCCCAGAGCCGTGTCTGCATTAGAAATATGTGGTGCCATAACTTAGAGACAAACCCGAGCCAGATATAAGTTGAAATCCTCAAAGCCCAGGAAGTATCCCTTCGGATTTGCTATGCGGTTTGCAAAGCTCTGGCCTAGCTTCCAAGCATCGGAGATCCAGTGGAGGCAGAAGCTCCAGGAGGCACGGGGCAGCTTTCGGCATTTCGGTTCCTCAGTTGAGTGTCACATAGCTTGCCACAAACCTTGGAGGTCCCTGATGGGTTTTCATATGATGATGCCAAGCAGCACCTCTACAGGGAGGTTCCCAAGGATTTATGGAAAGACGCGAAATTGGGTGGAGTGCTAGAATATATGTATGCCAATAAGAGGCTCCGTCTCTCGGAAGCGCAGCGGGAGATGCTTCGCCAGCTGGCACTGGAGAACTTTGCATAGGTCGCACTACCTGGGCTCGGTGCAAACAAACGAGTCCAGCCAGGGTTTTAAGGAGTCGTTAGGTTTTTAGGGGAAGTGCACATATTTATATATACACGTATGTCTGTCCTTGCTATATAGATGTGTAAGTATACATTGTCTGTGAATAGGTGCATAACATGTAGGCACTTCTAGATGTACCTGCATGAGTATGTATATATATATATTACTGATGCCTACATATATATATATATACACAGACATGTATATATATATATTATACACATGTGTACGTGTGTGGGTCATATATATATATACATACTGTGAATATCGCACACATGACGATACCTATCTATCTATTATATATATATATATATCTAATATATATATATATATAGATATATACATCTGTATATATATATGATATAGTGCATGTCATATATATATATATACATATAGACACACGCAAGACTTCGTGGGGATGGGGGTCAGTGCCGGTTTTTGGCTTCAGGGTTTGTGGTCTATTATATATATATATAATAGTTTATTAATATGGGTGGTGCCTATTAATAGGTCTTTATGCGGTGTTTCCCGGGGGTTGGCTCGGTGTTGCTTCAGTGTGCTCGGTGCCGGTTTTGTGTTTCAAGGTTTTGCGCGGCATTGTCAACAATGAAGGGGTTTTGCTGCAGATTTGCAGGGTTTCGTTGGTCTTTGTGCACTTTACAATAGCCTTGAACGCAATTCTTTGCATATTAAGCACTTTAGAGCTAAAACCGCAGTGCCGTAAAAAAGCGTAAAGTGCCATAAAAAGGTGTGCTAGTGCCGTAAAAAAGCGTAATGCGCGCACTGCTCCGCAACACCGCTTCTCAGAGTGCATTTTGCATAGATTTGAAAGTTTTGCGCAAGATGGTGAAGGGGAAACCTTTGCGCTTATGCTCCCGAAGCCACAGCTGTGCCACCCTCTACGCTGGCCAGTCTTTCCTGGAATCTCAACAGTCATTTGTGAAGCAAGAGCCCGAGACTATTGAAGAGGATCTACGAGTATCTTAACAGCATGCAGTGAATCGAACCCACACCCCAAACAATCCCATATATATGCATCAGCCGAGGCAGCGGAGAAGCGTCTGGCAGTCCTCAAGCAGAAGGCCCGAAAGATCGAAACGATGACGGGTCTCGAGGATCCGAAGGAGCTTCGAAAATGCGGGGAAGATGTGCTAGCATCACCTGTGGTTCCTACGGAAGCACCTACACGGCCCCTAGCTACTCCTGCCCGTGCACCCGAGCGAGCACTGTCTTCCGATGCGCAACCAGTCTGGGAAGCAGCCTTCCCGGGATCTGAGGGCGATCTTTCAAGTGCACATGCTGCTACAGAAGCAGATCTTGCTGGAGGACCAGGTCCAGGGCAGGATCTTGGGGCACCCCGGGCTATGGAGGCTGGGGAAGACTCGGACGATGAGTTGATTATGGATGTGGACTGTGTAGCTAGCCTGCAGGTAGCCTAGAAACATCTTTATATACGGGGACCGGAAGAATACAAACAGGTATGCATGCTTTTCTATTGGCCAAGTCAATCTCTCTCTCTCTCTCTCTCTCTTTCCCCCTGCCTTTCTCTGTCTTTCTCAAGACAATGATAACCCAAAAGCACCAAAACCCTGTATATGTATTAAATAAACTCCCAAGCCCTGAATTACAAACCCATATATAACCCTGACAAATCCAATCTCCTGAACCTTAAACCCGAAACTTCCTTACAAAACCTTTTACTACGAAGCCCATAATCCCACGAAGGAGCCATCTTCGTTCGCCCAGGATCCCGTGTAGGAATGTGCAGCAACTGCTGTACTTTATATGCTTGTATATATATATATATACATATGTGTGTGTATGTATGTATATATATATATTTGTACTTTGTATACACACAAAATTGTCTGTAATATATACATATACACACACATATATATATATCGAGTGAGTATAATCATGAGATCGATATATATATATATATTATGTATACACACACACACATATATATATACATATATATATTGTATATAACCACATGTCTTTGGAAAAATTTATATATAGACATTATCTATCTATCTATCTATCTATCTATCTATATACCCTTAGTATATCTTATTGCAACCGAGGATTACGAAGAGCTCGGTGAGCTCCTTCGAAGCTGCATTCCAGCGAAGCAGGAGTCGCCGGCGCAGCTCAGCCCAACAGCAGCCTACCTGAATTGATTCTGTGTTTTTGTTTGGGAACATATGTTTGGTGAATTGGTTTGGGGTGGTTGCAGGTGCCTGATGAGGAAGCTACCGGCGTCAGCAATATTCTCTTTGATGGTGCTAGCCTTCGTGGGAATGGGCTTGGAGACACTCTGGCTACGACTCAGCAAGAAGACTCCCCAGACCCTGCCCGAAAGTTGTTCCAAAGCCCAGCTCGGGAGCCGCAGGCAGTGGAGGCTATGCAGCCTCCCATGGCAACTCCGAAAAAAGGTACCACAAGTGCCCTCAGTCCTACTCATTCCCCCAAGAAGAGCAAGCGTCGTCGCAGCACATCCCAGCACAAGTCGTCGTCAGAGCGAAAGCATCGAGATCGAAGCCACGGCAGATCCCCGCACAAGTCTTCAGGTGGAAGGCGCCACCACAGCAGATCCCCACACAAGTCTCCGGAGCGAAAGCATCGAGATCGAAGCCGCAACAGATCTCCACACAAGTCTTCTGATGGAAAGCGTCGAGATCGAAGCCGCAACAGATCCCCGCACAAGTCGTCTGATGGGCATCGAGATCGGAGCCGTGGCAGATCCCCGCACAAGTCTTCCAGGCGAAAGGATAGTCGATCCCATAGTGATACCCCGAAGGAAAAGTCTCGAAGGTCTACCGTGGTCACCCCGGCTAAGTCAAAGACTGGAAGTGACAAGCCCTCCCCGGATGTATCTTCAGCCAGCAAGCCTCGCAGCCACGACAAATCCGCGACTGCATCTGCAACACCCTCGACGGCAACCAAGCGCAAGAAGAAGGCACCCCTGCACCCAACACCCTAATATTTCTGATCTCAGCCCTATTCCCTGCAGGACCTGCGGAAAGGGACGATTCGTATCACCGCCCGCGAGTACCGGAACTATGAAGCCACGTTGCGCCGGATGTGCAATAAAACTGCAAAGCGCGGAACCTTGCAGGTGAGCGAGGATGTTGCTGAGAAATGGAAGTGTACCAAGTCGCGGAAGCAGCTTGTCGTGGCACTGATAAACTGCCAAGGTGACAAAGCCTCTCTACAGCACAAATATGCAGCATGTGTCTTTGTGTGTGTGTTTGTGTGTCCAGTGTGCTGTGTCTATGCAAACATGTACACAACTGATATCTCAGGATGCTTTCAATCAGAGGATGGAGATTGTTATCCGCAACATCAAAGAGGGCAAGGTGGTAATCGACAGCGGCTTCTACAGTGAGGCTGCTATGAAAGCCGAGCTCAAGTTCGATAAGTGACTCTGCATGCAACACTTCAACATTCAATCCGTGCCATGATATTGCTTAAGTGATTCTGCTGCAACCCAGGGATCGGATCAAGGCCATCAAGGAGTACTGCACGGCGAGCAGATCTCGCCGCCGGGCTCTCACCAGGCCTGTCAGGTGTCATGCTTTGTGTAGGATTTTTGTTTCAGTTTGCTTGGTCGCAGGCGAGACAAGTACCAACGCCATATCGTGGAGTACTGGATCGATGTGAAAACCAGTGGATCCCTTTCCAAGGCGAGCCGGGAAGAGTTTAGTCAGTATGTCGAAATCATCGACGACAACCTCCAGCTACCACCGCCGCAATTGGGCAACGAGGCCTTGCCCTGCTATGATGAAGAGGACGATGATGATGATGATGACGATGGTGATGAGGATGACGGTGCCGACCGCAGAGACGACAAGAGTTCGAATGCTACCCCAGCGGGTAAGCGAAAGAGGCGTGGAAAGACCCCGAGCCCCAAAAGCAAGCTCATGGCCAAGAGGAAACGGGAGAAGGAGGAAGAGGTCGAGCATGCTCTGGAGGCCTGCTGCTTAAACACAAATCGCCCATTGAATACTTCCTTTATTAAGCCCCGAATATAAGATAAGCACCCCTGTATAAAAGTAAAAACAAGACCCTAAACCCAGAAACCATACAAGTTTCCCTTCAGGACATCGAGAAGATCCCACAAGTGCTGACAGAGCTCTTGAGGGTTCGCATCAAGATTGATACCACCCTGGACAAGCTTAAGAAGAAGGGTATTACCAAGTTACCTATCTGACTTATACACTTGTTTTGCATTGCAACCAATCATTGCACCATCGAATAATCTAAGGACGGGTGAGAAGCTGCACGGCCAAGCAGAAGAGCTGATGAAGCTTCACGACGAGCTGGCTGAACTCAAGGCCGAGAACGGCAAAGGGACCCCGAGTGAGAAGCCCCTTACCTGAAATTTGTATCATGTGCAGTTATACAGAGTATGTGACACGTTGCACAAAGTAACTATACTATACTTTAAACCCAGGACGATGGCAAAGCTGAAGGAGTACCTTGGTTCGGTCGAGAAGTTGTGACCTGGCCCGAATCCCATGCACGCCTCCTCGTGGAACTTCCTGCATCGGCACTGTGCGCTCTCCTCATTTCCCAGGACCAGCCGTATCACTATGGAAGAGAAGAAGCTGAGAAGGACATCAACACATATTTTCACGAACATGTATGCATCTACAACGCATGCATGCAGTGTGTTTACAACAATCCCCCTGTGCAGGACAGTTCTGCGCCCAGCGGGCAAGGCGAAGGCCAAAAGCAAGGATGAGTCTGCGCAAGAGGATGAATCCGATGAGCCTGCGCCCCCGAAACCTGTGGCTAAGAAAGCTCCCAAAGCCAAGGCAAAGGGTAACAAGCGAGGAGCCGCTAAGAGCAAGGCTTCCAAGTAGGTGCTATAGCCCTCCTGTGCACATGATCATCATGGTTGTGTCTATATAGGCTTACCGGGCCTACGGCTTAAATAACACTTGGGGTGGGTTCACAAATGCACATGGGGGCATATAGCTTATCTGGCCACACGCACGGATAAGTCGTGGTGTGGAGGCATAGCTTGCAAAGCATGTGTATGCAATTCCGAACAAAGCAATTCCTCTGGGGCCAAAGATGAATCAAAAAAGAATCCTATTCTTGCCTAGAGCTCTCGGAATGCTTGGAATATGAACCCTGTCTGCCACGCAGGTGCTCCTGATGTCGGCGCCGAACCACCCGGACATGCATCGGCTGCCTTGGCGAAAGCTCGTGGATCGGGGGTGTGGGTTTTGAAAGTTTAGGATCCGTGTGAGTCTTGAATTAGCCTCCTAAGTACCTTAATAAATTCTTATATATTATATTAATAATATCTATCCCTCTATATATAGATTTTTACATCCCCGAATTAAAGCCCCATCCTGCCATCGCAATGAGATATGTAAAGGCATCTTTATATAAATATAACTCACCAAACGAAACCATATAACCTCCCCTGCAGGTATCAGACAAACTACTGTGCACCATAGCTGCCGGCTTTATGGACGAGTGCCGCGAGGCCGATCCTGATGTTGCACATGGTCTTAAAAGCTCTGGCCTACTTTCTGACCTAAGACGTCGATCCGAGACAGGCCACGAACACCACTCGGGCAAAGCTTTTGAGAAAAGAGGTTTAGCTCTTCAGGTACCCTTGACAACGATTGATGTGGGCAAAGGAAAGCAGCATCCCATCCTAAAGGTATCGGACATGCTACGAGTGTTGGCTGAGAAGGAGAAGCTGCCCCTTTTTTGGGGTAGCACGAATCTGAAAACCCGTTCGGCAACACTGAATGACTTCTGGAGCCGCTATCGCAGCCACGATGCTGCACACGCGGTTTTTCAGCAGCACGGCGAGCATCTCGACCGAGTGTTGCCATTGCAGATCCATGCAGACGAAGGGCAGACACTTAAGAAGAGTGGGGTCATGGTCATTAACTTCCAGTCGCCTATGGGATTTGGAATAACCACTTCTACCGACAGCACCGATGCCATGGCTTTGAACTACATTGGAAACACGTATGCCACCAGGTTCTTGTACACTGTGTGCACGAAGCGTACATATGCAAAGAAGAACAAATTCGTGCTGGATTCCATTATAGAGGCTTTGGCTGACGAGCTAACGAACCTTTTTTACAATGGTGTGTCACTCCAAGTTGGAAAGAAACGAATGACCATGTATTTGGCTACGATCGGTTTGAAAGGTGACTGGCCGGTGCAGGCACGCATTGGTAATTTGACACGTCACTTTGCCAGGAAGGGTGTCTACAACACTTCGGACCAATCTGGGTTTTGTCATCTTTGTAAAGCCGGCCAAACCAACTATCCTCCGTATGATTACTCCCGAAATGCTGCCTGGAGATCCACATACCTTACATGTGTTCCCTGGACTGTTGAAGGCCCTCTGTGCAGGATTCCACAATCTGACAGGAAGGAAACTATGCACAGATTCGACGTCTTTCATACCTTGCACAAAGGTGTGTTCGCTGAACTGGCTGGTAGTGGTCTAGTTACATGGAAGCATATATCGTGCCAATCCCAACCCCATTTTTTTAAAGTATAAAAGCCACAACCCATATAAAGGTGATATGTAAATTTAGCCAATCACTACAGGTTGTCTTGACGGACTATGGGCTCGTCGGAGGCGGCAGCTTTACAGTTCAGCTGGATGCGATATATGAGCTTCTGGTATCGCATTGCAAGGCGAAGGACATACCCCTTCATATGGATGGGTTGACGAGAAACCTTTTGAACTTCGCGGGCGACTACCAGTTTCCCTGTGGGTTTGCTGGATTGAATTCAGCGGGCTAATTTAAGTATAGGTTTCTTTTCCCTGATTATATACTATACAAGATTATAAATCATATAAGCCTTAATAACCGTCATGTGTTGTGTGTTTTTTGTGGTGGCCTGACATCAAATCGCAGGTCGTGGTTCAAGGGAGCCGACACCAGAGCGGTGTGTTCTTTTGTGCAAAGTTTTCTTGAAAATCACGTGGCTCAGCTGACAGCTCCGGATCCGTACCTGGAAAGCATGCTTGTGGCATTTCGCTCGGCGAACACATTCTTGGAGACTTTGTATTCTTCTGGATTATGGCTGGCGCCTTCGCGTTGCAAACGGGCTGCACAAGCAGGCTTCGACTTCATGAAAAGCTATCAAGAAACTGCGCACGCAGCGCATCAGATGGACAAGACGCGGTTCAAGCTTACCCCGAAACTGCACGCCTATTTGCACATCATCGATGCTCTCGCAAGCTCTTTTGAAAAGGGCCGAAAGTGGACTTGGAACCCGCTCGCCGATGCAGTGCAAATGGACGAGGACTGGATTGGACGGATCGCGCTTTTGACCACTACGGTATCGATTCGCAGTGTGCACCCGCAAACATTGCGAAAATACTTGGTCAATGCGGCCACGCATCTTCGTGCTGTGAAGTGAGAAAACGACGGAATCGCACGAGTGATATTGTGTAGACCCCTCGAAGACCTCAAAGCCTCGAGCTGTTTCATCACCACACCTGAATCATCTCTGCTTGTTGTGGAATCCCCCCCAAAAAAGAGTCACCGGTTTAAAGCCAAACCCCCCTATAGGCGACTTTCGTCGGTTGCCTGTTATTTTAGGCTCCCAGGCTTTCCAGGTATGTTTTTCAAGAGCATATACACGGCTCTAAAGGGCTCCAGGGTTTGGTGTACCATTTAGGGTTTACTGTACAAGCGAATCTCAAGTCTCACAACCGCACCTGCTCTGAGCTATTTTGAATTCTAGTCCAGGGCTCAGGAAGGCACGCCACTTCCCAGTCAAAGCATCCGTTGGTTTCGGTATGTTGCTGGGGAAGTCGGTAGTTCTCTAATTCGGGGTCCCTTTTGAAGGTCCCCAAGATAGTACGGCAGCCTTATAAACAGGACCCGAAAAGGGACCCTCACTTAGAGAACCAACCATGTAGGGTTGAGGTTCAGGGGTTCCGAGCTTCGATGTTCGAGGCCCAGAGCAAGAAGTATACGCTGACCGGGTAGGAGCACAGGAACCCATGGAAGTCAGGGTCAGGCAAATTGAACTAAGGCATTCGTGGTATCTTGGGATTGGGGTTTAGGTTGTGTGTGTATACTATATATATATGTGTGTGTGTAATATACACAATATTATTTACATATACATATATACATCTGTATATGTATATGTGTATATATATATAGAGAGAGACAGATAGATAGATAGACATCGGATGCAAGGTTTAGTGTTAGGGTTTAGGGCTTCAGGGTCTGGGGTTTAGGACTCCGGTTTAGGGTCTGGGGAAACAGACTTGACTGGCCGTCATCACAGTGGTGCTTCTGCTGGTTGGCAACTTGCTACAGCTCTGACAAGTTCTACGACAACGCTGACTCCGACTTTCGGCACTACGACGGTTTAGAGTTTAGTAGGGTCTATGGGTGTGCTCCGAGCATCCTGCTGCTGTCCAGGCTATTCCTGCTGCTCTAGCCGCTCATCCTACTGACACGCGTGGCTAGCTGGTTGGATCAACATCCATCTGAGCAGCCCTTAAGGCTCTAAGGTTACCCTTGCTCAACAGTAACAACCTGTAGTAACGCATAGGCATAGTCACAAAGAAGTATGTAAACTGGATCGCCAGAATCGTTAAGATTCAAACGGCCCCCGCTGAGATAGGGCTTGGGGCTTATGGGGCTAGGGCTTGGAGGGTTTAAGGTTAAAGGTGTAGATCCATTATAGGGCCATACAAGCGGGGTTGATCGTTCTGAGGTGCAAGGGAAACACTTCGCGCTTTGGAGACCCGCTTCACCTCCCGAAACAGCGGCAGGTGGATGTCCTCCCCGGATTCGGGTCAGCATTCGGGGGTTTATAGCTTGGGGTTCTCCGTGTGTGACAGGACTGAGAGTTAATGAGAGTATTGAAAAATGAGTGTAAGATAGCGTAAGAAACCTTGACGATGTAAAGTCTCAGGACTACAAAGGATCTGTAGCATGAGCATCCAGGTGTAAACGGATCTATCAACCCGCGATTGAGCTTTAGGCAGAAGCCCGAAGCCGGGAAACCACTACAGTATAGCTGTCTGGGTTTAGGGTTTAGGGTATAGCTGTGTGAATTATGACGAGCAGAATCATGCCTCTTACACGGTACCGTTTACCCCAGGACTCTATTCTGTGATTCAGGCCTCGACAGGGAGCATGACGTGCTCGAAACCTCACTCTTAAAGGAGATGTGCTAACAGCGGATCCGCAGGGCTCTTCTCTCTGCCGTCTACGTTCTACAGGATGGCTTTTGAATTAAAGAAGACACTCTTCAGAGGCCGGTTGAGCAAACACATAAAACAGAAATTCCTGAACCCTAAACCCTAAACCCGAAGCCCTAAACCCTGAACCCCCAAACCCTAAACCCTAAACCCTATCGTTGAACAAACGCGGTGAAGATAAGCTTGGACAATTTGTGCACGTCATGGCGGCAGGTCTGAGCAAAACGAGAACGATGCTTACGAGGATGACGGCAAAGATGGAGATGTGAAGACACCAGCAAGGTTCAAAGTTTAAACCAAACCCCAAATGTTTTGACCCATATTCTAAACCTTAATATAAAGCCCCCAAATCCGAGTCCTCCAGCCCTTTGAACTTTGTAGGACTTCAACCCTAAACCGTAAACCCTAAAGCCCCATATCCGAGTCCTCCAGCCCTTTGAAGTTTGTAGGACTTGAACCCTGAACCCTAAACCTTAGAGCCCCAAATCTGAGTCCTCCAGCCCTTTGTAAGACTTCAGAAACTTCCCAAGACAAGCTTTGGAGACGCGCCGCGCAGGCCTCGGCTTTGCATTCCAGGAAGCCAAGTTTGCATAAAGGGTTTGGTCTCGTTTAGATGAGGGCATAAAGTTTAGTGTCTAGTAAATATATATATATGTAAATATGTTACTAATATAGCAGTAGGAAAAAAGAACAGCCGATACTAATGACACTAATCATAACAGTTGATAATGGCAGTACTGATAACAAGAATAACAATCATGAACATACTCACGCTCATAATCATAATGATAACATCTATCTATCTATCTATCGGTCTATCTATCGATCTATGTATCTGTCGCCTTGGCTTAAGGATGTCATCCCGGATTTCAGAGTTACTACAGGGTTATATGCAGATTGCATGTGGGGCTATAGTCTATAGTGGGCCTACATAGCTGCTTTCGAAGGGTTCTTGGTAGGATCATACATACACAAAACCATACATACATATATTCGACAATAAGCAGATATGCAGAAAACTCTTCTGGCGTTTAGTTGGCGCTTCAAGGCCAACCTTTACACCCGAAACCCTCAGCCCCATAACCCTAAACCCTGACCCGTACACCTCAAAGTAGAAACCATTTGGGCACATAGACCCTTAGGGATATCATGTAGGGGCCATAATTAGAATGGGGCTTTGGGGTGTATGATCCTATAATTAGAATAAGGAACCCGAAGAATAGCATTGGTAATTATTTAGTTCCATAATATCGAGGAATAGTTCTAGGCTGTTAGTCCGGCTGCCTCAGGTGACCTCAACACTAAAGAAACCCGACGCGCACACACGAGAGCGCGCTTAATCCCCGACACGTTTCAAACACCCAAGCCCCCGACAAGAAACGCACACACACACACACACCCTGAGGGTCCATGTACCTAAATAGCATATACTTTGGCCCTAAAGTAGTCCCTATATAGGTACCCTGGACCCAGAGTATATACTATTTGGGTACATGGACCCTTAGGCACAAGACTCACTTGGAGGCTCAAGGATGGTTTCAGAAGTGGGGTTCTAAGTAGGGGAACTATACCTAAGACATATAGTAGGGAATTTCTAGCCCCAATTATTCGTGAACCTTTCAAGCAGACCCTAAACCCTAAACCCCTAAACAGTAGGCCCCAAACCCTAAACCTTTGTCTGCGTCATCATGCCAGCGAAGACGAGGACTCTAGGTTTGAAAAGAATTTGGGGTTCTGGATTTTGTCAGACTACTTCGATGATCTAAAGACTCAGCAATTACTTGTTACGTAGACTTTGCAGGGCAATTGTTGACAAAAGCGTGACTGAAGCCATTTCTAGCAACCTAAAGCCTAAAACCCTAAGCCCAAAACCCCAAAGCCCTAAACCGGCTGAACCCGAAAGCCCAAATGCAACCCTACAAAGCTCTCCACTCTGACGCCCTCAAACCTACGCCCTACACCCGCCGAACCCTAAAAACCTGACTTTCCTTGCAAAGGTGCGCAGCTTGACTGGCCGGCTTCTTCATCGGCTTCCAGACCACTCAGGATGGTGCAGCCGCTATGTATGTATGTCTGTATGTCTGTGTGTCTGTGTGTCTGTATGTATGTATGTATGTATGTATGTATGTGGGGGAATAATTAAATGTAAATGCAAACATATCTGTATGAACTACACATAATACACCTAATGTTTGAACACATGTATGTGTGTGCGTGTGCGTGTAGACATGTTCATAATTAGTTTGCGGCGATTTCAAGCATGGTTTCGGGATTTTGAGTGGCGCAGGGCCAAGAATGCCCTAAACTCTAAACCCTAAACTCTAAACCCTAAACTCTAAACCCTAAGTCCCAAGCCCTAAGCCCTAAACCCTAAGCCCTAAAGCCCTAAACCCTAAACCCTAAAGCCCTGAACCCTAAACCCGAAGCCCTATGAGGCTTTCTAGGTCCGGGATTGCGGGAGAGAGCGTCGGATTGAAATGCTCGACACTTAGGGATTTAGGGGTTTAGGAGTTTGTGGGTTTAGGGCTTTAGGCGTTTAGGAGTTTGTGGGTTTAGGGTTTAGGGGTTTAGGGTGTAGGGTTTAGGGCTTTTGGGTTTTAGGGTTTAGGGGTTTAGGGTTTAGTGCTGAGCTTATCAGGTTAAAGCAGCTTTAGCTAAAGCACCTGGGTTCTTTTGACCATTCAGGTCTGTTCGGTGGCGATATTGCGAATTGAGCCAGATGCGTCACGCGTTGAAAGCAGCAACTGCACACTCAAAGTCTTCGTGCAGAGCATCAACTCTGAAACAAACATGGTTAATATAGAGGCCTTAATAATTAGAAAGGAGTATTGAGCTCCTTTATACTATACTCATGATAAGGAGCCCCCAAAATAATACAGGAAATTATTGAGGCCCCCATGTTAGGCACAGGAACTCTCATCCCCGAAACCCTGAAACCCTAATCCCTAAACCCTCAGCTCGTAAAACCCGGGGAATAGACATCAGGTACAAGACCGAGAGTGTCATGTTTTGGGCATAACCCTAAGGGTCCATGTACCCAAATAGTATATCATTTGGCCCTAAAGTACCTCTATAGGGACTACTTTAAGGCCAAAGTATATGCTTTTTAGGTACATGGACCCTTAGGGTAAGGTCTAAGCTCAACCCCTGCAGGCCGACAGGCCCAAACGCCCAAAACCCTAAGACCCTAAAA